GGCTGTTGGTGCCTAGGACTGTTGGTGCCCAGGGCTGTTGGTGCCCAGGGCTGTTGGTGCCCAGGGCTGTTGGTGCCCAGGACTGTTGGTGCCCAGGGCTGTTGGTGCCCAGGGCTGTTGGTGCCCAGGACTGTTGGTGCCCAGGGCTGTTGGTGCCCAGGACTGTTGGTGCCCCAGGGCTGTTGGTGCCCAGGGCTGTTGGTGCCCAGGACTGTTGGTGCCCAGGACTGTTGGTGCCCAGGACTGTTGGTGCCCAGGGCTGTTGGTGCCCAGGGCTGTTGGTGCCCAGGACTGTTGGTGCCCAGGGCTGTTGGTGCCTAGGACTGTTGGTGCCCAGGGCTGTTGGTGCCCAGGACTGTTGGTGCCCAGGACTGTTGGTGCCCAGGGCTGTTGGTGCCCAGGACTGTTGGTGCCCAGGACTGTTGGTGCCCAGGGCTGTTGGTGCCCAGGACTGTTGGTGCCCAGGGCTGTTGGTGCCTAGGACTGTTGGTGCCCAGGACTGTTGGTGCCCAGGACTGTTGGTGCCCAGGGCTGTTGGTGCCCAGGACTGTTGGTGCCCAGGACTGTTGGTGCCCAGGACTGTTGGTGCCCAGGACTGTTGGTGCCCAGGACTGTTGGTGCCCAGGACTGTTGGTGCCTAGGACTGTTGGTGCCCAGGGCTGTTGGTGCCCAGGGCTGTTGGTGCCCAGGACTGTTGGTGCCCAGGACTGTTGGTGCCCAGGACTGTTGGTGCCCAGGACTGTTGGTGCCCAGGGCTGTTGGTGCCCAGGACTGTTGGTGCCCAGGACTGTTGGTGCCCAGGACTGTTGGTGCCCAGGACTGTTGGTGCCTAGGGCTGTTGGTGCCCAGGACTGTTGGTGCCCCAGGACTGTTGGTGCCCAGGGCTGTTGGTGCCCAGGACTGTTGGTGCCCAGGGCTGTTGGTGCCCAGGGCTGTTGGTGCCTAGGACTTGTTTTGTATTGTTTCCGTTTTCTGTTTTGGGTTCTCTGACTTAGGCTGTTAGGTTAGGAGAGGAAACTTTCAATTAATGGTTTTCACGACGTTTTGAAACCTTAGGAGAACTTCCTGCCAGAGGACCCTTAATTTTTTTTTGGGGGGGGGGGGGGAATCTAAGATTTATTTCAATTATTTTTTTATTTTTAAATTACTTTTTTTTGGCCGTAGCGCAAGGGACGTAATTTATAAAAGAACGGGAGAAACTCTAATGAGTTTTCTCAGGTTGTCTACCTAGGAACTAACAAGTGAGGGATTGTTTGATGGTAGGGAAGTTATCTTGAGGTTATCTTGAGATGATTTCGGGGCTTTAGTGTCCCCGCGGCCCGGTCCTCGACCAGGCCTCCACCCCCAGGAAGCAGCCCGTGACAGCTGACTAACACCCAGGTACCTATTTTACTGCTAGGTAACAGGGGCATAGGGTGAAACTCTGCCCATTGTTTCTCGCCGGCGACTGGGATCGAACCCGGGACCACAGGATCACAAGTCCAGCGTGCTGTTCACTCGGCCGACCAGTATCCAGGGTTGGCACCGTGGCTTTCTCTAAGACTGTTGCTTGTTCCCAACCCGGGCTCCCAGAGCCCTGTTCCCAGGGAATTAATACAACTTTGCATGCGGGAAGAAAATACAACTCTTATATTTTTTATAATGTGAGAACAAGATGAGAAATATTAAAGATTTAACGTAAGCTCTTGAAGAATGAAGTGTTGTGAAAGTTTGTCTTGGTAAGATATTCGTGTCCAAGAATATCAATTCGATATTCTTAATTCGTGTGAATGTTTGTCTTGAAGCCACAAGTGTCTTTGTGGGAAGAGGTGGTTTGTCTTAATGCAAGGGGAAAGCGCCAAGCCATTACGAGTATATGGCACTGGGAAGGGGTCAGGATAAGGATTTGGGATAGGATGTTGGGGGGAGGGGGACCAGGAGGCCTTGTCGACGACCGGGCCGCGGGGATGTTAAGCCCCGGAAACACTTCAAGGTTAGGAATGGTGCCCAACCACTTGTGGACGGTCGGGGATTGAACGCCGACCAGCATGAAGCGAGACAATCGCGCTACCGTCCACCCCTAAGTGACCAGACCACACACTAGAAGGTGAAGGGACGACGACGTTTCGGTCCGTCTTGGACCATTCTCAAGTCGATTGAGAATCGGCTCTTTCATTGAGATTCAATTGGAAAATCAACCAGGTAACCAGGTATCAACCAGGTATTTATAAACACCAATATAGGTTAAACACCAACGTACAAGGCGGTCAAAACTAAATATTTTGACAGCTTAGCACAAAAAAATGATGTTTGGAATAAAAACAAAAGTCAGAAGATAATGTTGAGATGTGGCCCATGTTTTCTAAGCTCCAAGCAGTAGCTCCAAGCAGTAGCTCCAAGCAGCAGCACCAAGCAGTAGCTCTAAGCAGCAGCTCCAAGCACCAGCTTCAAGCAGCAGCTCCAAGCAGCACCTCCAACCAGCACCTCAAACCAGCAGCTCTAAGCAGCAGCTCCAAGCACCAGCTCCAAGCACCAGCTCCAAGCAGCACCTCCAACCAGCACCTCAAGCCAGCAGCTCTAAGCAGCAGCTCCAAGCAGCACCTCCAACCAGCACCTCAAGCCAGCAGCTCTAAGCAGCAGCTCCAAGCAGCACCTCCAACCAGCACCTCAAACCAGCAGCTCTAAGCAGCAGCTCCAAGCAGCAGCTCCAAGCAGCACCTCCAACCAGCACCTCAAACCAGCAGCTCTAAGCAGCAGCTCCAAGCAGCAGCTCCAAGCAGCACCTCCAACCAGCACCTCAAACCAGCAGCTCTAAGCAGCAGCTCCAAGCAGCACCTCCAACCAGCACCTCAAACCAGCAGCTCTAAGCAGCAGCTCCAAGCAGCAGCTCCAAGCAGCACCTCCAACCAGCACCTCAAACCAGCAGCTCTAAGCAGCAGCTCCAAGCAGCAGCTCCAAGCAACACCTCCAACCAGCACCTCAAACCAGCAGCTCTAAGCAGCAGCTCCAAGCACCAGCTCCAAGCAGCACCTCCAACCAGCACCTCAAACCAGCAGCTCTAAGCAGCAGCTCCAAGCACCAGCTCCAAGCAGCAGCTCCAAGCAGCAACACCAAGCAGTAGCTCCAAGCACCAGCTCCAAGCAGCAACACCGAGCACCAGCTCCAAGCAGCAGCTCATAATTTATAACTTACCATTAACAAAGCCTGTTTATCCGTCAAGTACAGGTGACACTATAAATGTGTCTTAAAATAATTTTTTTTTCAAAAAACCAACTGTGTAATTTACCCTTTACAAAACCCCAGGATGAAGCATATTCCGAGCGCTCGTAAGTGTTCACTAAGAACCTATTCAATTCATCATTTATTCAGTCAAAATATACTTGACTGGTGCATTTGCTAAGGCATTTAGTGACGGGACTGTAAACATTGTCGGGAAAATTGTCGAGTTGTGAGATAAAAATGTCGAGGCTTTGGCTGGCTAGGTTATCCCCTGTTAGTTTTAATGTGGTTGTGAAAGAGGTGATAAAAGTGGTTAATATCATTACACGAAGCCCACTCGGCTAATTGGAAGGTTGTGTTGACAATGGTGGTTGATCATTGCTACTTGCTGTTCACTCTTGGGAGCCCAGGGGGCCAGATTCACGAAGCAGTTACGCAAGTACTTACGAACCTGATACCAGATTCACGAAGCCGTTACGCAAGTACTTACGAACCTGGGGCCAGATTCACGAAGCAGTTATGCAAGTACTTACGAACCTGTACATCTTTCCTCAATCTTTGACGGCTTTGGTTACATTTATTAAACAGTTTACAAGCATGAAAACTTGCCAATCAACTGTTGTTATTGTTATAAACAGCCTCCTGGTGCTTCCGAGCTCATTAACTGTTTAATAATTGTAAACAAAGCCGCCAAAGATTGAGAAAAGGACAGGTTCGTAAGTGCTTGCGTAACTGCTTCGTGAATCTAGCCCCAGGTTCGTAAGTACTAGCGTAACTGCTTCGTGAATCTGGCCCCAGGTTCGTAAGTACTTGCGTAAGTGCTTCGTGAATCTGGCCCCAATTTCGTAAGTACTTGCATAACTGCTTCGTGAATCTGGCTCCAGATTCGTAAGTGCTTGCGTAACTGCTTCGTACTCATCTAGTTGTGCTTGCGGGGGATGAGCTTTGTCTCTTTGGTCCCGCCTCTTTGGTCCCAAGTTTTCATGCTTGTAAACTGTTTAATAAATGTAACCAAAGCCGTCAAAGATTGAGGAAAGGACACGTTCGTAAGTGCTTGCGTAACTGCTTCGTGAATCTGACCCCAGGTTCCTAGGGGCTCCAGCTTGTGAATTCCATGAAGGAATTTTTTGTTAATATTTCTAGGCCTAGTATAGGACACACATGCACTATATTAGGCCTCAGATAGCGTGTGTTATCCTAGGATGGTTAGGTTAGGTTAGGTTAGGTTAGGTTAGGTTAGGTTAGGTTAGGTTAGGTTAGGTCAGGTCAGGTCAGGTCAGGTCAGGTTAGGTTAGGTTAGGTTAGGTTAGGTTAGGTTAGGTTAGGTTAGGTAGGTCAGGTCAGGTTAGGTTAGGTTAGGTCAGGTTAGGTCAGGTTAGGTTAGGTCAGGTTAGGTTAGGTTAGGTTAGGTTAGGTTAGGTTAGGTTAGGTTAGGTTAGGTTAGGTTAGGTTAATTTGTCTTTACAACATAAAATATATTTTCTGGTTTGTCCAACTCAAAAGTACCGATTTCTACTTTCTAACTGCGTTGTAAGTCAGTATATGTACTATGACCGGGAGGTGGTCGGTAGAGCGGACAGCACGCTGGACTTGTGATCCTGTGGTCCCGGGTTCAATCCCGGGCGCCGACGAGGAACAATGGGCAGAGTTTCTTTCACCCTATGCCCCCTGTTACCTAGCAGTAAAATAGGTACCTGGGTGTTAGTCAGCTGTCACGGGCTGCTTCCTGGGGGTGGAGGCCTGGTCGAGGACCGGGCCGCGGGGACAATAAAGCCCCGAAATCATCTCAAGATAACCTCAAGATGGTCCTCATCCTTGCTATCACTACTACCAAAACACGAGGATGGGCTATCGTGAGAGGTTATCTTGAGAGGATTTCGGGGCTTAGCGTCCCCGCGGCCCGGTCCTCGACCAGACCTCCTTTTTGTTACACATCCCCAGGAAGCAGCCCGTAGCAGCTGTCTAACTCCCAGGTACATATTTACTGCTTGGTGAACAGGCACATGAGGGTGAAAGAAACTGCCCATTTGTTTCCGCCTCCACCGGGGATCGAACACGGTACCTCAGGACTACGAATCCCGAGCGCTGTCCACTCAGCCGTCACGGCCTCCTGGGGCTGCTATAGACATGTCATATATATTTCTCAGAGAATTAAGCCACTGGAGAGCCGATGAGGAATGTGTTCAGTGACCTCTTGTTCATGGTAGTGGCGTTGCCATGGTAACCTTAGGGCCATGACCCCGGGCACAGAGCCATGATCCCTCCCTCCCCGATATCAACATTATTTGCTGTTTTATTTGTATTATGCACGTGCGGGTGTTTAAATATGAGGTATTTGTCTGGGTTTGTTTAGTGTGCCGGGCGGTGAGTGGAGGTGGAGTGGGTTGAGGTAGGCGAGCCTTGAGATGTCTCCTTAATGGGACTTCAAAAGCCTGGCTACTTCAGCCCCATTCCCCAGTTTTTATGTTGGCTGCTTTCAGGCAGGATTTGCTTACCTCGGCGGCTCCTGCTCTCAGCATACTGGGCCCTGAGAGGCGGGTCTTCTCCGTCCCCTACCCCCGTCCCGGCCTGGGACCCGTCCCTCTTTGTCAGCTCCGCTCCGGAGAGATGCCCCGCTGTCCGCACTCTCCACGGCGTCCTTTGGTGACCTGCTGCTACCTTTATTGACGGTGGTGGGCGTACTGTCTTGGTGCTCTGGGCTACCTCTGGGCCTGTGGCTGGCCTGGACCTGTGGCTGGCCTTGACCTGTGGACCTGTGGACCTGTGGCTGGCCTTGACCTGTGGACCTGTGGCTGGCCTTGACCTGTGGACCTGTGGCTGGCCTTGACCTGTGGACCTGTGGACCTGTGGCTGGCCTTGACCTGTGGACCTGTGGACCTGTGGCTGGCCTTGACCTGTGGACCTGTGGACCTGTGGCTGGCCTTGACCTGTGGACCTGTGGCTGGCCTTGACCTGTGGACCTGTGGCTGGCCTTAACCTCTGCTTGGCCTTGCTGTGGACCTGTGGCTGACCTGCTTGGCCTTGACCTGTGGACCTGTGGCTGGCCTTAACCTCTGCTTGGCCTTGACCTGTGGACCTGTGGCTGGCCTTGACCTGTGGACATGTGGCTGGCCTTGACCTGTGGACATGTGGCTGGCCTTGACCTGTGGCTGGTCTTGACCTGTGGCTGACCTGTGGACCTGTGGCTGGCCTTGACCTGTGGACATGTGGCTGGCCTTGACCTGTGGACCTGTGGCTGGCCTTGACCTGTGGACCTGTGGCTGGCCTTGACCTGTGGACCTGTGGCTGGCCTTGACCTGTGGACCTGTGGCTGGCCTTGACCTGTGGACATGTGGCTGGTCTTGACCTGTGGACATGTGGCTGGTCTTGACCTGTGGACCTGTGGCTGGCCTTGACCTGTGGACCTGTGGCTGGCCTTGACCTGTGGACATGTGGCTGGCCTTGACCTGTGGACATGTGGCTGGCCTTGACCTGTGGACCTGTGGCTGGCCTTGACCTGTGGACCTGTGGCTGGACCCTGTGGCTGGCCTTGACCTGTGGACCTGTGGCTGGCCTTGACCTGTGGACATGTGCTGGGACCTGTGGCTGGCCTTGACCTGTGGACCTGTGGCTGGCCTTGACCTGTGGACATGTGGCTGGCCTTGACCTGTGGCTGGCCTTGACCTGTGGACTGTGGCTGGCCTTGACCTGTGGACCTGTGGCTGGCCTTGACCTGTGGACCTGTGGCTGGCCTTGACCTGTGGACCTGTGGCTGGCCTTGACCTGTGGACTTGACCTGTGGCTGTGGCTGGCCTTGACCTGTGGACATGTGGCTGGCCTTGACCTGTGGACCTGTGGCTGGCCTTGACCTGTGGACCTGTGGCTGGCCTTGACCTGTGGACATGTGGCTGGCCTTGACCTGTGGACCTGTGGCTGGCCTTGACCTGTGGACCTGTGGCTGGCCTTGACCTGTGGACCTGTGGCTGGCCTTGACCTGTGGACCTGTGGCTGGCCTTGACCTGTGGACCTGTGGCTGGCCTTGACCTGTGGACCTGTGGCTGGCCTTGACCTGTGGACCTGTGGCTGGCCTTGACCTGTGGACATGTGGCTGGCCTTGACCTGTGGACATGTGGCTGGCCTTGACCTGTGGACATGTGGCTGGCCTTGACCTGTGGACATGTGGCTGGCCTTGACCTGTGGACCTGTGGCTGGCCTTGACCTGTGGACCTGTGGCTGGCCTTGACCTGTGGACATGTGGCTGGCCTTGACCTGTGGACCTGTGGCTGGCCTTGACCTGTGGACATGTGGCTGGCCTTGACCTGTGGACATGTGGCTGGCCTTGACCTGTGGACCTGTGGCTGGCCTTGACCTGTGGACATGTGGCTGGCCTTGACCTGTGGACATGTGGCTGGCCTTGACCTGTGGACATGTGGCTGGCCTTGACCTGTGGACATGTGGCTGGCCTTGACCTGTGGACATGTGGCTGGCCTTGACCTGTGGACATGTGGCTGGCCTTGACCTGTGGACATGTGGCTGGCCTTGACCTGTGGCTGGCCTTGACCTGTGGACATGTGGCTGGCCTTGACCTGTGGCTGGCCTTGACCTGTGGCTGACCCTGACCTATGGTGAGAGGGGACTCGCTAAACCCAACGACACAAAGAGCACTCAAGTGCCACTTGACAACCTCTTCTTGACAAGGAATAAGAGACAGACTAAATGTTTTACCGCTCTAGGTAAAGAGGTTGTTTCTAAGTTGTCTCGTGGCCAGACAACTCGAGAGGAGACAGACTGTTGCTCTGTGATCATGGATCCAATAGGCTGTCTTGTCAGGACAAGTGCATGGTGGAGGCGCTTAGGGTGTAAGCTTAGGGCACGCTCCCCCTTCTGGACTGTGGGTCGCCGCCCCCCTCTCCACCCCCTAATTGGATACTAAGCGATTTACCCACCAATTTGTGTCATATTTTCCCAGTATTTTTGGACTTATTTACAGGCTCCAGGTTGGACCTCTTCTCTCTTATCCTCCTGCGTGCACACACACACACACACACACACACACACACACACACACACACACACACACACACACACACACACACACACACACACACACACACACACACACACACACACACACACACACACACACACACACACACGCACAAACATACACACGCGAGTGCGGGTATCAACACGAAAACACATTTACTCAAAAACATAAGCCAGTGAAGGTACCCAGCCTAGACCCCGCTCTGGTGTCTTCGTGGCTCCTGAACCCCTAAGGAGACGGGAGGCGGGGCCCAGGAACCTGACCCAACACCTCCTCCTCACACGTCTATAATTACCCTCAAATACCTGTACAGTGGGTGTAGGGCGTCTCATTGTTGTGGGGGGGTTAGGCTTATTGTGGTGATGCCTGGGGGAGGTGTTCCGAGCCCCTCCCTGGCCCAGCCCTCCTGGGCAGAGCCCTCCTGGCAGAGCCCTCCCTGGCCCAGTCCTCCTGGGCAGAGCCCTCCCTGGCCCAGCCCTCCTGGGCCGAGCCCTCCTGGGCCGAGCCCTCCTGGGCAGAGCCCTCCCTGGCCCAGCCCTCCTGGCCGAGCCCTCCTGGCCGAGCCCTCCTGGGCCGAGCCTGCCCTATGCCTCTCCTAGCGTGCCCGTTCTAAGCTTTGTCGATAGCCTCCCAGCTACGGACCTCTGCATCCTATCTTACTATCCTACACCCCTCCACCACCACCACCACTCTCTCCCACCACTACCACTCCCACCACCACTCTCTCCACCACTCTCTCCACCACCTCTCCCTCAACAAACATTGCACACCAACACTGCTGCAACTAGACTACCGCTGCACTCCCCCACCACCACTGTATGGCAGACTACCACCATCACCACCACACCCTGCTGTCCTACCAGCCTCTCCCCAGGGGCAGGGGACTCCAGCGCCGCCCTCCCACCCCAGTATCCAGGGGGCCCTTGGGGGACCTAGCAGGTCCTTCACACAGACAGGCGTCCACTGGGGTCGATATTGGTGGTGCTGGCAAGGGAATCCCTTGCTGCCTTCCTGGGGACCCCACGGAGCTCCTGCTGCCTTCCTGGGGACCCACGGAGCTCCTGCTGCCTTCCTGGGGACCCCACGGAGGGACCCCACGGAGCTCCTGCTGCCTTCCTGGGGACCCCACGGAGCTCCTGCTTCCTTCCTGGGGACCCCACGGAGCTCCTGCTGCCTTCCTGGGACCCCACGGTGCTCCTGCTGCCTTCCTGGGGACCCCACGGAGCTCCTGCTGCCTTCCTGGGGACCCCACGGAGCTCCTGGGGACCCCACGGAGCTCCTGCTGCCTTCCTGGGGACCCCACGGTGCTCCTGCTGCCTTCTTGGGGGCCCCACGGAGCTCCTGCTGCCTTCCTGAGACCCCACGGAGCTCCTGCTGCCTTCCTGGGACCCCACGGAGCACCTGCTGCCTTCCTGGGGACCCCACGGTGCTCCTGCTGCCTTCCTGGGGACCCCACGGTGCTCCTGCTGCCTTCCTGGGGACCCCACGGTGCTCCTGCTGCCTTCCTGGGGACCCCACGGAGCTCCTGCTGCCTTCCTGGGGACCCCACGGAGCACCTGCTGCCTTCCTGGGGACCCCACGGAGCTCCTGCTGCCTTCCTGGGACCCCACGGAGCTCCTGCTGCCTTCCTGGGGACCCCACGGAGCACCTGCTGCCTTCCTGGGGACCCCACGGAGCACCTGCTGCCTTCCTGGGGACCCCACGGAGCTCCTGCTGCCTTCCTGGGGACCCCACGGAGCTCCTGCTGCCTTCCTGGGGACCCCACGGAGCTCCTGCTGCCTTCCTGGGGACCCCACGGAGCTCCTGCTGCCTTCCTGGGGACCCCACGGAGCTCCTGCTGCCTTCCTGGGGACCCCACGGAGCTCCTGCTGCCTTCCTGGGGACCCCACGGAGTACCTGCTGCCTTCCTGGGGACCCCACGGAGCACCTGCTGCCTTCCTGGGGACCCCACGGAGCTCCTGCTGCCTTCCTGGGGACCCCACGGAGCTCCTGCTGCCTTCCTGGGGACCCCACGGAGCTCCTGCTGCCTTCTTGGGGACCCCACGGAGCACCTGCTGCCTTCCTGGGGACCCCACGGAGCACCTGCTGCCTTCCTGGGACCCCACGGAGCACCTGCTGCCTTCCTGGGGACCCCACGGAGCTCCTGCTGCCTTCCTGGGGACCCCACGGAGCTCCTGCTGCCTTCCTGGGGACCCCATGGAGCTCCTGCTGCCTTCTTGGGGACCCCACGGAGCTCCTGCTGCCTTCCTGGGGACCCCACGGAGCTCCTGCTGCCTGACAAAGGGTGACATAGAACCTTCGACAAAGACAAGGGGTGACACAGAACCTTCGACAAAGACAAGGGGTGACACAGAACCTTCGACAAAGACAAGGGGTGACACAGAACCTTCGACAAAGACAAGGGGTGACACACAACCTTCGACAAAGACAAGGGGTGACACAGAACCTTCGACAAAGACAAGGGGTGACACAGAACCTTCGACAAAGACAAGGGGTGACACAGAACCTTCGACAAAGACAAGGGGTGACACAGAACCTTCGACAAAGACAAGGGGTGACACAGAACCTTCGACAAAGACAAGGGGTGACACAGAACCTTCGACAAAGACAAGGGGTGACACAGAACCTTCGACAAAGACAAGGGGTGACACAGAACCTTCGACAAAGACAAGGGGTGACACAGAACCTTCGACAAAGACAAGGGGTGACACAGAACCTTCGACAAAGACAAGGGGTGACACAGAACCTTCGACAAAGACAAGGGGTGACACAGAACCTTCGACAAAGACAAGGGGTGACACAGAACCTTCGACAAAGACAAGGGGTGACATAGAACCTTCGACAAAGACAAGGGGTGACACAGAACCTTCGACAAAGACAAGGGGTGACACCCGTCACCACCCCCACCACAAAGGACCGCCAAAGAAACAAATAATCAAGAAAGAAGACATTAAAATCTTGATTTTCTTCCTGTACTGAACGGTGGTTCGTCTGGCTGTGTTGGGGTCTCCTGCTTCTGAGGTGGTTCACAGTCGTTCAGGCTACGTTCATCCCGTTCACTCATTGTTCATCCCGTTCAGGGGTCATCCCTTATGACCCCTGATGGCCAGGATAGTGATAGATGTGTCTGGTGATGGATGTGTCTGGTGATGGCCAGGATAGTGATGGATGTGTCTGGTGATGGCCAGGATAGTGATGGATGTCTGGTGATGGCCAGGATAGTGATGGATGTCTGGTGATGGCCAGGATAGTGATGGATGTCTGCTGATGGCCAGGATAGTGATGGATGTCTGGTGATGGCCAGGATAGTGATGGATGTGTCTGGTGATGGCCAGGATAGTGATGGATGTGTCTGGTGATGGCCAGGATAGTGATGGATGTGTCTGGTGATGGCCAGGATAGTGATGGATGTCTGGTGATGGCCAGGATAGTGATGGATGTGTCTGGTGATGGCCAGGATAGTGATGGATGTGTCTGGTGATGGCCAGGATAGTGATGGATGTGTCTGGTGATGGCCAGGATAGTGATGGATGTCTGGTGATGGCCAGGATAGTGATGGATGTCTGGTGATGGCCAGGATAGTGATGGATGTGTCTGCTGATGGCCAGGATAGTGATGGATGTGTCTGGTGATGGATGTGTCTGGTGATGGCCGGGATAGTGATGGATGTGTCTGGTGATGGCCAGGATAGTGATGGATGTCTGGTGATGGCCAGGATAGTGATGGATGTCTGGTGATGGCCAGGATAGTGATGGATGTGTCTGCTGATGGCCAGGATAGTGATGGATGTGTCTGGTGATGGCCAGGATAGTGATGGATGTGTCTGGTGATGGCCAGGATAGTGATGGATGTGTCTGGTGATGACCAGGATAGTGATGGATGTGTCTGGTGATGGCCAGGATAGTGATGGATGTATCTGGTGATGGCCAGGATAGTGATGGATGTGTCTGGTGATGGCCAGGATAGTGATGGATGTGTCTGGTGATGGCCAGGATAGTTATGGATGTGTCTGGTGATGGCCAGGATAGTGATGGATGTGCCTGGTGATGGATGTGTCTGGTGATGGCCAGGATAGTGATGTGATGTGTCTGGTGATGGAGTGATGTGTCTGGTGATGGCCAGGATAGTGATGGATGTGTCTGGTGATGGCCAGGATAGTGATGGATGTGGCTGGTGATGGCCATGTGGCTGGTGGATGGAGTGATAGTGATGGATGTGGTGATGGCCAGGATAGTGATGGATGTGTCTGGTGATGGCCAGGATATGATGTGTGGTGATGGCCAGGATGGATGTGTCTGGTGATGGCCAGGATAGTGATGGATGTGTCTGGTGATGGATGATGTGTCTGGTGATGGCCAGGATAGTGATGGATGTGTCTGGTGATGGCCAGGATAGTGATGGATGGTCTGGTGATGGCCAGGATAGTGATGGATGTGTCTGGTGATGGTGATAGTGATGGATGTGTCTGGTGATGGCCAGGATAGTGATGGATGTGTCTGGTGGTGATGGCCAGGATAGTGATGGATGGATGTCTGGTGATGGCCAGGATAGTGATGGATGTGTCTGGTGATGGCCAGGATAGTGATGGATGTGTCTGGTGATGGCCAGGATAGTGATGGATGTGTCTGGTGATGGCCAGGATAGTGATGGATGTGTCTGGTGATGGCCAGGATAGTGATGGATGTCTGGTGATGGCCAGGATAGTGATGGATGTGTCTGGTGATGGCCAGAATAGTGATGGATGTGTCTGGTGATGGCCAGGATAGTGATGGATGTGTCTGGTGATGGCCAGGATAGTGATGGATGTGTCTGGTGATGGCCAGGATAGTGATGGATGGTGATGGCCAGGATAGTGATGGATGTGTCTGGTGATGGCCAGGATAGTGATGGATGTGTCTGGTGATGGATGTGTCTGGTGATGGCCAGGATAGTGATGGATGTGATGGCCTGGTGATGGATGTGTCTGGTGATGGCCAGGATAGTGATGGATGTGATGGCCTGGTGATGGCCAGGATGGTGATGGATGTGTCTGGTGATGGCCAGGATAGTGATGGATGTGTCTGGTGATGGCCAGGATAGTGATGGATGTGTCTGGTGATGGCCAGGATAGTGATAGTGATGGATGTGTCTGGTGATGGCCAGGATAGTGATGGATGTGCCTGGTGTCTGTGATGGCCAGGATAGTGATGGATGTGTCTGGTGATGGCCAGGATAGTGATGGATGTGTCTGGTGATGGCCAGGATAGTGATGGATGTGTGGTGATGGCCAGGATAGTGATGGATGTGTCTGGTGATGATGATGGCCGGATAGTGATGATGTGTCTGGTGATGGCCAGGATAGTGATGGATGTGTCTGGTGATGGCCAGGATAGTGATGGATGTGTCTGGTGATGGCCAGGATAGTGATGGATGTGTCTGGTGATGGCCAGGATAGTGATGGATGTGCCTGGTGATGGATGTGTCTGGTGATGGCCAGGATAGTGATGGATGTGTCTGGTGATGGCCAGGATAGTGATGGATGTGTCTGGTGATGGATGTGTCTGGTGATGGCCAGGATAGTGATGGATGTGTCTGGTGATGGCCAGGATAGTGATGGATGTGTCTGGTGATGGCCAGGATAGTGATGGATGTCTGGTGATGGCCAGGATAGTGATGGATGTGTCTGGTGATGGCCAGGATAGTGATGGATGTGTCTGGTGATGGTGATGGCCAGGATAGTGATGGATGTGTCTGGTGATGGCCAGGATAGTGATGGATGTGTCTGGTGGTGGCCAGGATAGTGATGGATGTGTCTGGTGATGGCCAGGATAGTGATGGATGTGTCTGGTGATGGCCAGGATAGTGATGGATGTACCTGGTGATGGCCAGGATAGTGATGGATGTGTCTGGTGATGGCCAGGATAGTGATTGATGTACCTGGTGATGGCCAGGATAGTGATGGATGTGTCTGGTGATGGATGTGTCTGGTGATGGCCAGGATAGTGATGGATGTGTCTGGTGATGGCCAGGATAGTGATGGATGTGTCTGGTGATGGCCAGGATAGTGATGGATGTGTCTGGTGATGGCCAGGATAGTGATGGATGTGTCTGGTGATGGCCAGGATAGTGATGGATGTGTCTGGTGATGGCCAGGATAGTGATGGATGTGTCTGGTGATGGCCAGGATAGTGATGGATGTGTCTGGTGATGGCCAGGATAGTGATGGATGTGTCTGGTGATGGCCAGGATAGTGATGGATGTGTCTGGTGATGGCCAGGATAGTGATGGATGTGTCTGGTGATGGCCAGGATAGTGATGGATGTGCCTGGTGATGGATGTGTCTGGTGATGGCCAGGATAGTGATGGATGTGTCTGGTGATGGCCAGGATAGTGATGGATGTGTCTGGTGATGGCCAGGATAGTGATGGATGTGTCTGGTGATGGCCAGGATAGTGATGGATGTGTCTGGTGATGGCCAGGATAGTGATTGATGTGTCTGGTGATGGCCAGAATAGTGATGGATGTGCCTGGTGATGGCCGGGATAGTGATGGATGTGTCTGGTGATGGCCGGGATAGTGATGGATGTGTCTGGTGATGGCCAGGATAGTGATGGATGTGTCTGGTGATGGCCAGGATAGTGATGGATGTGTCTGGTGATGGCCAGGATAGTGATGGATATGTCTGGTGATGGCCAGGATAGTGATGGATGTGTTTGGTGATGGCCAGGATAGTGATGGATGTGTCTGATGATGGCCAGGATAGTGATTGATGTGTCTGTTGATGGCCAGGATAGTGATGGATGTGTCTGGTGATGGATGTGTCTGGTGATGGATGTGTCTGGTGATGGCCAGGATAGTGATGGATGTGTCTGCTGATGGCCAGGATAGTGATGGATGTGTCTGGTGATGGCCAGGATAGTGATGGATGTGTCTGGTGATGGCCAGGATAGTGATGGATGTGTCTGGTGATGGCCAGGATAGTGATTGATGTGTCTGGTGATGGCCAGAATAGTGATGGATGTGCCTGGTGATGGATGTGTCTGGTGATGGCCGGGATAGTGATGGATGTGTCTGGTGATGGCCGGGATAGTGATGGATGTGTCTGGTGATGGCCAGGATAGTGATGGATGTGTCTGGTGATGGCCAGGATAGTGATGGATGTGTCTGGTGATGGCCAGGATAGTGATGGATATGTCTGGTGATGGCCAGGATAGTGATGGATGTGTTTGGTGATGACCAGGATAGTGATGGATGTGTCTGGTGATGGCCAGGATAGTGATTGATGTGTCTGTTGATGGCCAGGATAGTGATGGATGTGTCTGGTGAACCTGGGGCCAGATTCACGAAGCAGTTACGCAAGCACTTACGAACCTGTCCATCTTTTCTCAATCTTTGACGGCTTTGGTTACATTTATTAAACAGTTTACAAGCATGAGAAACTTGCCAATCAACTGTTGTTATTGTTATAAACAGCCTCCTGGTGCTTCGGAGCTCATTGGCAAGTTTTCTGCTTGTAAAATTAATAAATGTAAACAAAGCCGCCAAAGATTGAGAAAAGATGGACAGGTTCGTAAGTGCTTGCGTAACTGCCTCGTGAATCAGGCCTCCCCAGGTTCGTGCGTAATCGTGGCCCCGAGGTTCGTAAGTGCTTGCGTAACTGCTTCGTGAATCAGGCCCCCCAGGTTCGTAAGTACTTGCGTAACTGCTTCGTGAATCAGGCCCCGAGGTTCGTAAGTGCTTGCGTAACTGCTTCGTGAATCAGGCCAGATTCATAAGTACCGTAACTGCTTCGTGAATCAGGCCTCCCCCAGTAAGTGCTTGCGTAACTGCTTCGTGAATCAGGCCCCCCCCCCA